GCAATATGCAAGAGCATAACACATTATCATTATTCTCAAAGGTAAAGTTGTAAATACAAGCAGTTTATTCAGAGAGAGTCAAAATGAGGACTTAAAATTGTTACTGGTGCAAGAAAACTTTAACATTAGAAGCCTTAGACACTAAATGAACGTATAAGGTCCCTTTAATCAACATTGGTTTGACACATGGTCCACTGCTGCAGAACAGCCAAACTTTGACTCAAATATTACCTCTTCCCAAGTAAACTCCTCATTGGGTGATCTTTCACCCTCCATTGTGAAGGTTTTCCCTGTTCCAGTTTGTCCATATCTTAAACCAATAAGAAATTATCCATTACATAAATATATAAGATTTTTTTTTTTTAATACCATGCCAGCTTTTTAGCTATTCTAATGGAAAAAAATATAACTTTAGTTAAAATGTAGAATAGAAACCAAATAAAATTTCTAGGTCCAAAAACTCAGAATAAAAAAGTTGAATGATTTGACATTTAAAATACAGATACTCACGCAAAGACAGTACAGTTATAGCCCATGATAACTTCATCTAATATGGGGCAAACCACACTCCTATAAACGTCAATTTGTTTGGCAGAAGGACCAAAAACCTAAACCAATTGAAATGACAAATTTAATGAGCATTACTACACAGGAAAAAAATAATTAAATGACATTAATACTCAGGATGTGCGTGGAAAACAAGCCAAACACTCACCATGTCAAAAGTGTATGCTTTTCTTGCTGCTTTGTCTGTGGCGCCTCCAGTACGGACTATCACCTCTTTTCGGTTCTGGTCACATTCAACAACTGTATGAGAGGCAGATTTACGCTCCACTGTGTTGAAGGGTCTGTGAATCGCACATCAGATATGAGAATGGTATAGTTATTCATTTCCATCTCATAAATACACACAATTTTATTTAGAAAAGAAAGAAAAAGACAAAGTAGAACAGCCGGAAGTTAACATTACACTAGAAAATAGATAAAAATAAACATCCTATTCTAGGCTTTTCGGCTAAAACATCAGCACATATACATACATATATATATATATATATATATAAATAAAAGATCAAACCATGGTTTTAGCCAGCAATCAATTACATAAATTGGTCATTTAAATCGTGTCATGTGGGGGCAAGCCGTCTTGGCCTCAGAACAAAAATAAATAAATAAATAAACACAATGTTAAAATTTATGTTTGCAGGGTATAATTTAATAAATAAAGAGGGTTTTAAACTAGGAGTATAAAAACCATACATATGCAAGTTGGTTATTGGTCATACAGCACAACATACAAAATATGTGATCGAGGCATTCTTACACTACTTACAAAAAAATATAAATAACTGTTACACATAAAACCGGTTACATTTACCTGCATCGTACAACCACTTGAATATTTCTGCCTTTTTCGTCTTTTTTAACTGCTGGTAACTGTGATGAAGCCATGTTGAAGGAGCGTCTTCCGTGCTCCAGGTCTGAAAATGTCCTTTAAATGTAACCTTTAAACAAAATTAGGTTTCAAAAAAGCAAATATATAAGTCATACCGGAAATCATTTATATAAATATTGAGCCATTTAAAAAATATAAACGTACACAAATATACTGCAAACACCCGCCCCGCAGATCCATTAGTATGACATTGTCTAGCCTAAATGGCGCCTAACCAAAATAAATTACAAAACCAAACTAATAAGAGCAAAATTAGCAAACGCACGTACCGTTCACCTGAACTCCTTTAAAAGCAGATCAAATAAGCTGCCAAAGTCGTTTAAAATCCCACCAATAGCGCAGATTATTGGAATACACTCTATTAGCTGTACACTCTGATTACGAGTCTCCAAGCGCTGCAGTTGCTGACTTTGAAAATCGCGCATCTGCAGCTTTAAGCCAATCAGAGAAGAGGGGTTTTTCACCATGCTTCTGATTGGTCTAAAGGAGACGAGCTGGAACGGATGCATCTCGGGAAAGTGCAGTGTTTTTAAAATAGCACTGGACGACGAGAGCGAGATTGAATTAATACATTAAATTACGTTTAATTAATAAATTGCTTTTAACAGTACTATATTTATTTTTCAAATAAAGCTGGTGTAATAATTCTGCATTTTAAATGGAAATATATAAGGCGTAAATAAAGAATGAATGAATCAGTTAAAGAATGAACATTTCATAATTAATTTCAACAAGTCATAAACAATTGATATTTATTTAATATTAGTTAATGGCTTTTTTGTTAGTCTAATGTTTGTATTATGTTTATTATGATTGCTTTAAAATGTGGTGTTGTACATTACAGAAAACAATTAAGTGTGGGGTCTCTCTTTTTATGTCACATTTTAATATGCTCTAAAATTCTTTTCCTACTTTACTGCAGGTCTCATTACAACAAAGGAGGAACTGTGATCGAGATTCAAATAAACATGTTTGTCTTTCTGACACCCCCTTTTGCTTGAAACGACTGTAGTTCCTAAAATTACCAGTAGATGGTGGTAAGAAACCATGACACACTTGTGTTCTTAGTAAACCGATCTAGGCAGTAAGGCATTTTAGGCCTTCATATTCCAACTGGTACTATTTTAATCGTATTTGGACTGCAGAGCAAATCATGCAGTGGAAATACATATTTGTATAAATATATTCAGGCACTTTTCTAGCCGTTGTCTTACATGATTAATTGTCACTCTGTCATCTATTTATCAACTGCATGAAGATTTATTTATTCACACCAATCTTATTTTAAGGAAATATCCTTAATCAGAAATACCCTTTGTAAATGTATTCATAATCATCACATATCATAATCTCCTTTTCTATCATTCTTATATTAGTACTTCTTATTCTTAGTTGCAGAATTAATTTCTTTTTTATTTCCTGATTGTTAACTTTGTACTAGCTTGAGCACTTAATACACCCAGGGTTTGATTTAAAGGGGTCATATGATGCGATTTCAAGTTTTCCTATCTCTTTGGAGTGTTACAAGCTGATTGTGCATAGATAAGATCCCTGAAGTTGCAAAGACTAAAGTCTCAAAACCAAAGAGATATTCTTTATCAAAGTTAAGACTCTGCCACGCCCCCCTAAAACGGCTCATTCTAACACGCC